GGAGATAGATAGGGTGGGAAAGGGAAAACCTTCTGGTACAGTTAAAATTGAGGGCGCTGAACACTATGTGATGATGAGTTTGAGATTCATGTATCTTCCCATTCTTCAGCCTTTTAGATGTACAACAGTATATTTTAAGAGCAAAATAATGAATTTGGTGGCAACAGCTCAGCCAGTAAAAATGCCTGCCGTGCAAATGTAAGAACTTACATTTGATCCTCATTACCCATGTGAAACAAAGGTGTGGTGGCATAAACTTGTGGGAAGGCAGAGAGAGAGAGACGGATCCCTGGGGCATGGTGGCCAGTCAGGCTAGCCTAATCAATGAGCTCCCAGTGGGAGAGCCTGTCATAAAAACTGAGGCCTGGCATAGTGACACATCCTTTTCATCCCAGAACTTGGGGGGGACAAAGGCAGGTGGATCTCTATGAGTTTAGATCTAGCCTGGTCTACACAGTGAGTTCCAGGCCAGCCAAGGCTACACAGTGAGACACTGTCTCTAAAAACCAAAACAACAAAACCAGTAACAACAACAATTCAAGGTGGATAGCTTCTGAGGAATGGCATTCAAAGTTGACTTCTGACCTCTGGTCTCCACATCTGTGTATGCATATGTATGTGTGTGAGCCTGCATACACATGATTATACACACCTGGACACATACACACAAAAATATTAAAATTTGAAGCCAAATTAATCAGTGTTTCTCTTAGATGGCTTGTGCTTTCTGAATCCTAAGAAATATAAACCAAGATCACACTGATAATTCATCCACAATTAACCTGGAGACACATGGCTTCTGGGAGTCCTCAAGCTCCTCTTAGTCTCCTTTGTATATACTAACTCAATGACTACAAACACCTCTCACACACTAAAGCACACACTGATGTTTCTGCATGAGTGCTTAGTGTGCAACTGCTAGAGTTTGAATCCTATCCACAAACACTCACGTTGTTGAGGCCTTAGTCCCTAGTGCAGCTGTGTTCTGAATCGGGGCCTTTGGGCTGTGGGCCATGAGGGCTCTGATTTCATGAATGAACCAATCTATTTATGGATTTATAATGCGTTAGTTTTTTTGTTTGGCCTGGTTTGGTTTTCAAATCACTATAACAAATACTGGAAAGAAATCATTAGAAAAGGTTTCCTTCTGCTGCCCCAGAGTCACCGGGCATCCTGTGTGGTTGTTTGGCTCTGCTTCTGAGCTGAGGTGAGCCAGAGCATCATGGCGGAAAGTGGGGGAGAAGCAGATCGCTCACTTTATGGTGGCAGGAAGCAGAGGGTGGAGACAAGGGACTCCAAAGCTTTCCTCCAGGGTCCTACTTCCATCTAACCATCACTTCCCCATCCTGCTGTCAAATATCAAGGGATTACCCTTCGTGATCCAATTACCTCTCAGTTATTACATCTCAGTGGGAACCAGGCTTTTAGCACATGAGTCTTTCGTGGCATGTTTCAGATCAAAACCACAGGTCAGAACTTCTGGGTCTCCAGCCTTGTTACAAAAAGCAAGCCCTTTCCAGCCAGCATGAGGTGGCAGCTTTACTTTGCCCCGTGCTCTTGACATGATGTCCTACCTTGTGACAGGCCAAGTGACTGTAGACCAAAGCCATGAACTAAATTAAGTCTTTCTGCATTTTAAGTTCATTTTCTCAGGGATTTTTGTCGCTGCAGTTAAACAATAGTATACAGCATCTCCTTTGTAGTCTTGGGTCTGGATTTTCTCCTACAAGCTAAGCATGTTCATCCACAGTTCTCTATGCAGGCCGAGACTTCTCTGACTTCCCATGCTCTCTAGTCTGTTAGATTATGATTTGACATGGTATTCGAGCAGCTAATTATGACAGCTTCATGGGACTTCCAAAGATGATGATGGCATGTTAAGAATAGGCCAGACCCCATTCCAAACACTTCACATATCTAAAGTAAATCCTCAGATCCCTGAGAATAGAGGACAGCTAACTTGGAGAAGTCAGCCAGCTCTAGGAAGTCAGCTCCAGGGCAATGGGATTCCACAGTCATTGTTCTCACTGTAATAAACTGCCATAGCTACGGGCACATCTCACGAAATAATTCCATATTGAATGCTTTCTTTCCTGCATTGAGTGCTTCTCCAGACTCAGCTCTGGTACTTTGTGCATGGCATTAGAGTGTATAACTTAGAGGACAAACTAGCATCCAGCCTGCTTTGTTTCTGGGAGCCTTGAGGCTGTACCTCCCTCCCGAGATAAAGGAGTTTCAGTTTCTACGAAGGCACCATGTATTGTAGCAAAGGTGCCCCCTCCAAGGCTAGCTCCCATCTCTAGGAGAATTACTTGTAGTATGACTTAGCCAAACTAATCATCACGTTCTGTCCCCTTGGCCCTAGCGGCTGGTTGGAGCAATGAGTACATAGCTCACACCAGGCTGGTTTGGGCCAACCAGGCTTCATTTGGAGTCTTTTAAATGAGGTCTGTGGACCTTTTCCTGGGTTGGTGAAAGCTGGAGTCATTACATCTATCTTCTTAGCCTAATAATGAGGCCAATTCCCAGCAAACCAGCCATAAAATGAGGAGAGAAAACCCCATGCCAGGACTACCCTTAGCCATTGGTCCAGTTATACCTCAATCCATTTTTTGTGAATAATTACAGATAATAAATCAATAAATTCTCATTTTTAAGTTGGAACACCTGGCTGTCAGTTGTAATGCATAAGAAATACAGGATGCCCTACACCCCAAGGCATTCCCTCCACCTCTGCTCCTGATCAATTTTGCCCTTCCCCCACAGCATTTGCCACTAACTCATGACTGTTTCGTTTATTCGGCTTATTTTTCTGTCTCCCTCCACCACCCAGCCTTACTGAAAGGCACAATCCATGATGGCAAAGATGACCATCATGTACCCAGCAGGTACTCCTGGAGATTTGTGTAATGCTACGCCCATGTGGATTCCTAAGGATTATTGAAATTTATTTTTGTGTGCATAAGAGAAGGACAACACAACTCTAGAGTTAACTGTGGACCAGCCTCCCTTCTAACAAGATGGGAGCCATTTGTCATGTCTACCATGTGCAGGTGAGGGCATGCCAATTCCCAGTATTGCAGTAATTTCAGGACAGGTGCTTTGTCATCCACAAAGACCATCCCAACACGGCAGTGATCCCCCATGCAGAACTACTTCAAACCCATTCTAAGAGCCTTTTCGGTGTTTATAGAATATACTCTTATCAGTTACTATCTCAATTTTCATTTTATCTCTCCTTTGCAGCCATGGGGATGTAAATGAATTAGGAGGGAAAGTGGACCCGGGATTTTTTCTTTCTTCTGCATCTTATTCCATAGACAACAAGGCCTTCTCTCTTGAGGGGATATTCTCCCTCTGACTTCTTTACATTCCAGTTCTCATTGCTGCGCTGCAGGGCCTGGTGCCTAGGTTCTATGTGGCTCCCATCGGCCTGCACAATCAGTTTATCGATTCATCTCTACCCAGGATCTGATGCTTTACTTCCTGGGCAGTGATCTGTCCAGATCCCTCTTTGGAGTGGCTGGCTGTCATTCCAGTGAAAATGACCCTTTTGTATCTACCTGTCACTGATGGGGGAAATACTTCTGTGTATGTTTATAAATAAAGTATTTGCTTGGCCAATGAGACAGCAGGTTAGGCTGGACTAGGAGTTAAAGAGGATTCTGGAAAATGTAGTAGAGAAGTGGTGATCCAGGCAGGAAGTGACATAGCAAGGAGACTCATATTTAAGAAGAGGAAAAAGGAAGTGTCGCTCTCTTTTCCCCTTGGCTCCTGCTCCAGCGGCACGATGTGATTCACCAACAAGGAGAGACGCCAATAAGGTGTCCGATAAGATAAGTCTTATAAAATATATAGATGTATGGTAATTGAGACTGAGCTAACAAATGAGAATCCTAGTCATTGGCCAAGCAGCTTTGAACCTAATACAAGACTCTGTATATTTATTTGTGCCTAACTTGGGCGGGCGGCTGGCATAAAGCACACACATGGTGGTGGGGCTCAGGCGGCTTTTGGCAGAAATATTTATCGTAACATGTCACCGCTTCCTAAATTTCACTATTAACGATTTATTTAGGGGTTGACAGGCCCTGTTAGAATAATACATTACAGCTGATGCTTTCCTCTGGACATCAAAAAGGGTTCCATTCGTTACCCCTTTCCTCACTAATCCTTCCTTCAGTTTTCCTTCAGCCAGCCCTCGATGGCTCTGGGGATAAAGGAGCATTCTCAGTACAGGTCAGCAAACTATGTTCACTGCTTAACCGTGTCACAAGGATAAAGGAATCAGCCGTCCACCTAACCTGACTTCGTGGTCAAGCACCATAGACTTTCTTCTTGGACACTTTTCCTTCTGATGGGCCCAGCCAGGGTCACAAGTGCTATATTCTTCTCCTACTGCCATGCAGACTCATGACCTAGGGTGTGGGGAAGCTTATGTTTTATGGTTCAACTACCTTCTCATTATTGGAGCAAATATGCGATAAAGAATCTCAAACTCTGAGCCCAGAGAAGTGAGCAAGGCCACAGGGCTTGCTAGTGGCAGAGGAGAGGTGAGTCCCAGGCCTCCAGGTCAGTCCACTGCACCACTTGTGACTGTCACCTCCCATCGTAGGTGCAGAAGAACTCATTTTGAGCACCACTCCACTATCTCAACCTTGTTCGGAGCCTGCAGAGGACAACACCATTTACCTCTCTGCTCAGACCAAGTGTTGCTGGGGACACAGGAGGCAGGGACGATGAGGAGGGAGACAGAAAGCATTCAGGAGTGTTTCTGAGTCTTACTTTACCTTTCTGTTCCCATCACCGTTATACTAGAACTCTGCAGGCTCCTAACCATAGCACTATTTAATGAGAGTATGTATGGTCTACTTCAGACTGGCAAGGGACTCCATGAATGAACATTCCATGGCAAGAGGATGAACAGCGGGGAAGTAAGGGAGGTTGGAGGATACAGGGGCTGAAGGGGACAGAAGTTCACTCTTGACTATTTGTTTCTTGGCTCCAAACTTTACTGGTATGACAGAGACCCAGTGGTCAGGAGGTGCATTTCTATTTGTTTAAGATAGCCAAAGGGAAGCAGAATATCAGAAAGGACTGTGGTGTGAACACTGAGATCAGAAGCCACTGTCCCACCATGCCAAGCTCTCTGAGCCTGATAGTCTGTGTACCGGAGGACTCATCAGTGTTCGCTGCTGCATTTACTCTCAGGGATAACGATTATATCAGCCACCAGATGAGAGGGAAGAAGAAGGGGCTTGTGCGAGGCTGGCAGACATCGATTCTTGCTCTATGGCTTGTACTTGCATAGGAAGTGTTGGTGCTCATTGCATCTGTTTTTGTTCCAAGTTAAGAATCCTGTAAGAAAATAAAGACATTTAAACCAAGCTCATTCATTACTGAATTTGCCAGAATTATCTGTGTGTTTTTCTTGGAGTCCTGGACAAGGGACAGTGTTGGTTATTTTAGGTGCCTATGTGGGTAGGATATGATATTGTTTAGTCCAGAAGTCCAGCAATTGCTAGCTGCCTAGCTGTGTAGATATTGATCTGTGGGTATTTTGTTGATATTGTTGACACTCAAATCAAAAGACATTTAATAAAGAGGACCAGACCAAGGGCTTCCTGGAACAGAAGGTTTTCCCATTAATTGCTTTGGATTCAGCCTTTCCAATCAAGTCCTGCAGTAATTTCCCTCTCCCCTACCCTCACCCAAGCATCTACACCTCCCATTACTGGTTCTTTGGGGACCCCCTGACTAGCATAAACACCCACTTTCTCACATCATTGCAGATTGTATGCGCTCTACTCCAGCACTCGGGAGGAAGCAGCACCTGACACAGACCCAGGAAAGTCTCCCTTTATGTGTTGTGCTTGGTTTAGTTGTTTTTTTTTAATTTAAGATTTATTTTTCATTTTTATTTATACACATATGTGCATGCATGCACTGTGTGTGCATGTGTGTACCTGCCCATGTGCACTGGAGTGCATATGTGTGGGTGCCTACAGAGGCCAGAAAAAGGGCATCAGGCCCTCTGGAGCTGGAGTTATAGGAGGTTGTGCACTGCCCAACTTGAGTGCTGGAAACCAAACTCCTATCCTCTGTAAGAGCAGAAGTTTCTCTTAATTGCTGTACTCACTAGCAACTTGACACATGCTAGAGTCATCAGAGAACAGGGAGACTCAACTGAGAAAATGCCTCCATAAAATCAGGCTGTAGGCAATACTGTAGGACATTTTCTTAATTAGTAATTCTTGAGGGAGGACCCAACCCATTGTGAGTGGGGCCATCTCTGGGTGGGTGGTTCCAGATTCTATAAGAGGATAGGCTGAGCAAGCCATGAGGAGCAAACAGCACCCCTCCATGGCCTCTGCATCAACTCCTGCATCCAGATTCCTGCCCTGCTTGAGTTCCTCTCCTGACTGCCTTTGATGATGAATTGTGATGTGTAAGTTAAATAAACCCTTCACTCTCCAACTTACTATTGGTCATGGCGTTTCATCATGGCAGTAGAAACCCTAAGACAACCGCTGAGCTATCCCTCCAGCCCCTCCTTTGTGTTTGAAATGGTTGCATCAAGGACCTGGGGATGGCTTTCCTAGACTCCACAGGTGAACTTCAAAGATGGACAAGCCACTGTAACCAGTCATGTCCCAACAGGTTACTAATTTAGAAAGAAGGGCCTGGACAGAAACTGGGGGCCATTTGGGGGACTGAAATACATATTTTTAGGAGAGGCCTAACTATTTCTGTCCTCAGAATTCCTCAGTCCTTGTCATCCTGGAGAGGTTGTGGAAGAATGTTGAGCTTCCTCTTAGCTGGTGCCTGCTTGGGTCTTGACCTGCAGGTCTGAGCCTGTCAACTGCTCTTATTCCCCATACTCCTGAGACACAAAGGGTAGCTGTGCATATATATGTCCTGATTCAAGTGGTCTGTAGTTGGGGCACCAGAACATGATGAAATGGGGACTATAGACTTGTTGAGTAATTTCTAGCATGGAATCAAGAGTGTGTGCACAAGCCTGCTAGCCTGAATCAGGCCTGCAGAACTAAGGTTGGCTGGCTGGATATGTAGTTGTGTAGGGTGCTTTGGTACACGCACTAAGCCCAGAGAAGAGTTGGAAGAGCAGCTTCCAGTAACCAAGAGCAGCTTTCCCATGGGTACCCACCTAGACTGGTCCCCAGTCTAATCTCCTGCCTGCCTTCCTCCCACAACTAAATAGGGATGTGCTGGGGATGGGGAAGGTGTGTGAGCACACCAAACCTGAGCATTGAGCTCAGCCTGTACATGAAGGCACCAAGTAAATGTCAAGGTCATGGGGATACTGCTCTCAACCTTTCAAAGGAGGCATCTGAGGCACCAGAAGGAAGTCTGCATGGGCTCAGGCAGCTCAGCAAGAGGAAGATGCCACATTTCTACAAGGTCATTCAGAACACAGAGCTTCTGCCCTTGACCCCCCAGCCAGACTGGGCATAACTTTTTTTTCCTTCTTTCTTTTTTCTTGCAGGACTGAAGATTGAACCCAGTGTTGTGAAATATTAGTTTAATATGTGTTAAATTCATTTATGCTATGGAATATTTGTTTAATGATGCACAAATGTGTTGCATTCTTTTATGTTGCATTTGTTTACCTCTGCAAAGTGGTGTTACTTTGCCTGTCTAAAATGGCTGATTGGTCTAATAAAGAGCTGAATTGCCAATAGCAAGGCAGGAGAAAGAATAGGCAGGGCTGGTGGGCAGAGAGAATAAATAGGAGGAGAGATCTAGGGAATAAAGAAGAAGGATCAAGAAAAGGAGAAGGAGAGGAGAATGCCAGGACCCAGCCACCCAGCCGCACAGTCAGCCACAGAGTAAGAAGGAAAGAAACATATATAAAGAAAATGCCCAGAGGCAAAAGGCAGTTAAAGAGAAATGAGATAATTTAAGTTAGAAAAGCTGGCTAGAAACAAGCCAAGCTAAGGCCAGGCATTCATAAGTAAGAATAAGTCTCCATGTATTTATTTGGGAGCTGGGTGGTGGGCCCCCAAAGAGTAAAAAAAAAAACAAAAAAAAAAAAAAAACAAAAAAAACTAACTACAACCCAGGCCCTCAAATATACTAGACAACTGTTCTACTGATGAGCCATATTCTCAGCTCTCTTCTTAACTTTTTATTATAAGACAGGGTCTTACTACATTGCCCAGGCTATCCTTGAACTCACTCTGTAGTTCAGGCTGGTCTTGAACTTGATGAGCCTCCTGCCTCAGCCTTCCAAGTACTGGGATTATAGGCCTGTGGTAGTTTACAGTCCCAAAATGAAGCAGAAGGTCACAAAACAATTAGATTAGGATGCAGAGTGAAGAGTCCCAAGGGAATGACAAAGGGACACAAGGGACAAAATACCCAGAAGTCCTTCCTAAATAGAAAGGAGACAGGAATGGGTCCATTGTACAGATATAAAATAGCACTGGGCAGGGGTCTCATGAAGATTTTCCCTTTAAGTCCTTCCCTTGGCCAGCTTTTCCCTAGCCTTGTTCCTTTCCCTGGGTTTTTAATTGATTACCTAATTTTATGTTCTCTCCCAACCCCCACCCCCATATGTGGCTGACCTGTGAGCTTCCAGGGAGTCTCTTATCTCCACACACAGCCCCCATCTTCCTACCCATGTGCTGAGATTACACATGCACACTACCTTGTCCAGCTTTATGTGGGTTCTGGAGATTCAAACTTGGGTCTTCATGCCTGTGCAGCAAGCATACTGCCCCAAGCCACCTCCCCAGCCCTCTTCTTTGGGTTTCTTTGTGTCTGAAGCCTGTGTTATGTTTGCTGTGTGCTGAGAAGGGATGGGATAAAAAAGACTCAGGTTCCCACAGCTATGCCACAGGCTCCTTCTGTGTGGGGTTCTGATGATAGGAAAGGATTTGAGAACTTCATCCAGTGAGGAGCCCAGAACCATGGGGATTCAAAGGGTCAAGGGAAACATCTGGCCAACTGCTCCCCAAAGCTGGTCTGGCTAAAAGGCAGATATGGAGGGCCCCATGCCATATAGGTCTGAGAGACCCTGGACTGTGTTCTGCTGGAATGTTCTCCAGTTGATCTTTGTGACTTTGAATCTCTCCTAACACAGTTTCTACCACAATGAAAACAAAATGTTCACCTTTTCTTTGGTTGACTCTGGTGGTAGGCTTCTGGCTGCATTCTGAGGTAGTTCACAGTGAGTTTGGACAGTGTTAACTATTAAATTTCCCCTCAAATTGGGCAGGCAGCCTTGTTTTAGTAGCTTGTACCTATGGCTTTGCCTGTGTACTGGCTAACTTGCCTTCACAGCAGCAGTGTGGGCTCTGCTGGCCTACAAGATTCCCTTCTCCAGCTTTTTGCCTCTGACGCCTTTGTCATAGTCTGTTGCCTCATGCCTGCTCCCTTGCTGTTAAACAGTTCCTTCACTGGTGTATCAATTTGGCAAAGACTGCAGAGTGGGCACAGAGAGCTGAAGGTTCTCGACTGTGTGTCGAGACCACTGTCCTGTAAGGTGGTGTTGTTGAATGAAAGGGGTGTTGGGAAGGTGCACAAGGGTACCCCTTTTGCTCTTACTAAAGGACGGAGCTGTAGCTTGGAGAGAGGGAAGTGACACAAGGAACTTACTGTCCTTCGGGTTCAGCGCAGCACAGTGCCTGCCTTCACTCTTTGTCCTGCGATTCCAGGGTCTGTACAGCTGTGTAGACCCATCAATCCATCGCCATAACTGATTCTGCAAAGACAGGAAACAGAGGGAATGTGCAAGTCAGCCAGCTCACCCTCCCACTGCCTTGTTGGGCCTTCAGCCCAGTGAAATGGGGGTTTCATGGGATGGAGTACAGAAATGTGTGAAGAATCAAATTAGAAAAGCCACTCCATTCTCGGTAACAGAGGAAAACATCACTAATGTTTTAGCATATTTCCTTCTGATGGAAACATGGTTATCAATGTACTAAAATACAGTCCTCTTTAAAACAGATATTCAAGTCTTTCATTTGCTTTCTAAACAAACCTGTCTTCAACACAAGGATGTCATAATCTACCTAACAATCTCCTATTGACTACTCGGTATATTGTTTCCAATTACTATGAAAAACACTGGTATGACTAATTTTGTTGAGATTCACTCTGTGTTCTCAAAATTATTTCCTTATAATATATCTCAGAAACAGAATTAATGGGTCAAGTAATGTGACTAGTTTGAGGTTATCAATACCCACTGACACAGTACTTTCCCAAAACTGCCCACTTGATGGGGGAGCCCTTCTCTGTATATGTTTGACTTAGTGGTTGATAAAGTGTTTTGGTCAATAGGGAATCGAGATAGGTGGGTCTAGGAGTCAAGGAGGATTCTGGGAAATGTAGTAAAGAGAAGTCTTGTGATCCAGGCAGGAAGTACAAATTTACATGCTCACTGACTGGGCACATGGTCCATTTCTCTACATCCTCAAGATATTATTCATGATACAAAGAAAAATGCTGGCAATCTAAATCAAATTATGTCATTTTAGTTTGCAGTTCCTTGATTATTAGCGATAAGAGTACAGTTTTAGAACATTTGTTTGTCATTTGTGTCTCACAGTCACACATGTGAAAAATCAAACTACAAAAACATCTCACAGAAATAGATGCAAATATATAGCTTGTCTCAGAAATCAGAGTTTTACTTGACAGCAAAGTAAATACATAAACAAGGAAATATTCAGCCAAATGAGGTGGTGCCCGCTTTTAATGCCAGCACTTGAGGCAGCAGAGGCAGGCAGATCTCTGGGAATTTGAGGCCAACCTCGTCTATTTAGTGAGTTCCAGGTCAACCAACACTACACAGTGAGACACTTGTCTCAAAGAGGGGAGGATCTGGAGAGATGGCTCAGCTGTTAAAAGTACTTGTTACTTTTACTGAAAACCAGGATTGGTTCCCAGCACCCACATGGCAGCTCACAACTGTGTTACCCCAGTTCCAGGGTACTTGATATCTTCTTCTGGCCTCCCCAGGCACCAGGCACATACAAACATGCAGGCACATACTCATACACAGGAATTAAAAATATAAAAATATTTTAAAAGTTAAAAATTGCACAAGTCAAATAAACACCATTTAAAGCAAATAACTGTATAACAGTTACAGCAAAAAACAAACCCCAAAAACAAAAAAAAAAAAAAAACACTTGTTTTTCTGCAATATTCAAAAGACAAAATATAATGTGATTCATAGGCAATTGCCAAAGGTGACCACATGTTCATGGAATAAGGTGTGTGAGCATTGGTGTCTCCAGCTATTTCATCAGGATCGGAAAGGAGGGCTTGCCCTCTTATGTCCCCATTTCAGGTACGTATAGACGTCCCCTTGCCCAATCCATAAATACAGACGTTCTGTGCTGCTTCTCATAGTCAAGTGCTGATGAAGAGGACAGAAAGGTCCAGAAGAAAGAATTAAGGATGATTTTTTTAAAAAGTGACAGAATCTCAGAAAAAAGGTTAGCTGAATGTTTTCACCTTTAATTAAGACACAAAGGCAATTAAATTACTCCGAATCTTCTAGAAGATTGGTTTGCATGCTTTCTCTACCCCTCTGTCTCTCTCTCCTTTATTGGAAGGTTCTAGAAAATTGGTAATTTTGTGTCTGAGGCTCCAGGAGAACCTTAATTAAAGTTCTACAAAAAGGAGCTATTTAAATGATTTCTTCTGCTGGGGGAAAGAAGGGGTCCCTGACCTTCAGGCCTTGTCCTGGATCTTTGGAGGTGCTTGGCTGCAGGGCTGGTTACTACTTTCATCCTGTTTATAGGCCAGGAGGCCACTTCTCAGGAAAGGATTGTCATTCTGGGTTTCCCAAGAGGCTCCGTGAGCCAAACATGGGGTTACCTTCTGGGGGTCATGCAGGCCAATCCACACAGGCAGGTTTCTTTGATAGCCAAATATGTAATTTGATATGACGCTGGCTTCCTTTTCATTCAAGACAGATGCCAAATGGGATCCATTTCCATATGACTGACACTCCAGCTGCAAGGAGAGGTCCCATTAATGATGCCATGAGCATACAGCTCTCTCCTTGGAGCCCTGGTGTGCCAAGAAGGATGGATTCCCTCCCCGCCCCCCACCCCCAGAAACTGGAATAAACCCCACAGGTGATTTTTGTCGCTATACACTATACGAGAAGACAGAAGGCCATAGTGTTGGGTCCCAGAGGAAGCCAAAGCTCAAGGCCAGGGCAGGAGATTTAGGATCAAAGGAAATACCCTGGGGCCCCAGTGACCTTTGTAAGTCACTTCACCTCTCTGAGGCACAATTTACTCATAATTACAGAATCTGGGGTTGCCTGGCTCTCCCTCTCCCTATCTCTTTCTGGCTCAGTCTTTCTTCCTTTCACTCTCTCTTCCCCCAGTTATTTAGGAATCCACTCAATTAGACATTCCATCCCCTGGATTTTCTTTGATACTTCTCTCGGTCTAATCAAACAAAAATCATCTTTGCTTACAATGCAATGAAAATTTCTGTTTAGATGTCACAACCACACATTTCTTTTATACGTCACTTGGTTGTTGAGGGGAAGTACCCTTATGTAGCCAAGGCAGGTCCCAAACTACTCATGACCTCCTATCTCAGCTTGCAAGAGCTGGAGTTGTAGGTGTACTCCACCACACCCCGTTCTCACAGATTTGGAAGTCAGAGAACACAGCCTGATACTCATTAGCTGTCACTTGGTGGGTTTGCCTCCCTTGTTCCTTTCCTTCCTTTGTGGAGTTACACACAGGACACTTGCAACCACTCTGGCCTGGGTCATGCCACATTGCATCTATATGTGTCAATTGGTCCCAAGCTGGAGAGACAGCAACATCAATTCTCCACTTACTTGGACTGGCTATTTGGATGTTTGGAGACATCTTACACAGAGCTAGAAAGAATACAATCCAGGCACATGTGTGCTATGTGAAGGCACCTCCCATTGGCTTTTTGCTTGGTGTCCCTGAGACCTGTTTCAGGCATTTCCACATCACTCTCTCCGGTAACTCACATAGGGGAATTCAGTTATTCTTTGTACAAGTCCCTCCATGCTTTATGCTTCTTTGACATGCGTATTTCTAGCTATCTGAGTGTCCTGAGGCTTCTCCTGGGGTCCCAGGAAGAACCCTTGACTTGTAAGTCAAAAACGATCTACAGCTCTAGCTGGCTCCTTTCTCTAAAAGAAACCAGCAGCTCAAACTTCTCACCTCAGCATGAGACCAGTTTTCCATCTTCCGGAAGTACCCATAGCAGTGGGACTTGTAATAAAACCACCCCGAAGCACAGCTGGGTCTCACGAGATCTGTACAGAAACAAAAGGCAGTCACAGATTTTGATGTCAAAAAACTCGGTATGGTGATGAGACACGGCTTTTGGATTTGGAACACCTTAAAAAAAGGGAAGAGTCCATTTCGGAAGGTCCCTGCTGCAATGCTAAAAATGTCTACTGTGTGGGGCTGGGGATCTAGGTAAATTGGAGGGATGCCTGCCTTGCACGCACAAAGCCCTGAATTTGATTCCCAACTCTTCATATGTCAGGTGTGGTGTATATGTCTGTGATCCTCACACTCAAATGATGAAGAAGAATCAGGAATTCAAAGCCATCCTTGGCTACATAGTGAATTTGAGGACAGCCAGGGCTACCTGAGACTTATCTCAACACACACACACACACACACACACACACACACACACACACAGAGAGAGAGAGAGAGAGAGAGAGAGAGAGAGAGAGACAGAGACAGAGACAGAGACAGAGACAGAGACAGAGACAGAGACAGAGAGAACAAACAAAATTAAACCCCAAATTTTTATTATTACTCTTCTCCCAGCCTGCATCAAAGGACCTTTTACCAGGGACTATTTACTAGGAAGGGAGAATCAACCTTCCTGGGAGTACTGAACACACACTCTGAACCAACAGTAATTCTAAGAAACCCAAATATCACGGTGGCCCAGCTGTCAGAGAAGGAATTAAGGAGGGTGTGGAGCCATTGGAATTTTGTGCTCTGAAGTGTCAATGCCAATCAACTGTTGCCATTTCCCTGGATCTGAGTGTGTAACTGCAGTAGACATACTCAAGCCACTGGTAGAATGACACAGCCAGGCTTCGTGGAGTAGACAGACATTAACTGGGAGTTAGAGAGGTATTATTAGGAGAGCCTTTTGGAAGGGAGTGGGAGAAATGGCAACTGGGCTAAAATGAGATCATGGGTGGGCTGTACCTCAATATCGAGGAGAGGGCACGGTTTATATTTCAGAGGAAAGGAATGGGCTGGGCAGAGGCATGGAGGCAGGAATGTGTCTGCTGAGTGCAGAAATAGCAAGTCCCTAAGTTTTCCTGAAGCACAGGGGTTGTGTAAGACAAACTGGCCAACAGGAACAAGAAAGGCCTGTGGCAAAGGAGGCTGTGACTCAGGAAGGCTCAAGCTTTCCATCCTAGGGGACTCCAAGTTTAGTTGACAATGTAGAGTAACTGTTACAAAAAGCCTCTGAGGATTATCTGAAATACACTGATGCCAAGCAGCAAAGATCCTCATTTATTTCTGCTATTAGAAGAAACAACAGGATTTTTACATTAAGTAAAGGGAAAGCATTTATCCCTGGATGCAGCCACCATCAGCAGGCGGGCCGATGCTGGCATTAGGCCAAGCGATTTATTCCAGCTCTATTTTCATCAAAATATATCAGAAAGATGAAACAGGACCAGATGGTTACCTGGTAAAGTCTCTATAAAATAGAAATGCTACTCTTTAAGGTCAGTCTTATGGCCTAAAACCCATGTTTCTACCAGGAATCCTTCCAATCTTTGATTTATGAATATGCAAAAATGAGAAATTAGGAACTTAGTAACAAACAATTACAAAGTTGAGAAACCTCAGCTGTTTTACAAGAAAATTTGAAAAAAGTAAAGGAAATCTTAATTTTTGAATCTGACACTAAATATTTTTCTTTTCCTTAAAAAAATGTTATTTGCAAGAGTGCTTTGCTATGTAGCCCAGGCTGGACCAGTAGATGTTCCTGCTTCAACCTTCTGAGTGCTGGGATTATAGGAATGCACCAAAGCCCTGATGAAACCAAAGCTTTGTTGTTGTTGTTTTGTTTCAGATCGCAGAAATAAAATTGTGAAAGTGGATGGCTTTGGGCGGGGTGGGGGGGGGAATCTGTGCTTTGTGTTGACTAGTTTTATGTCAACTTGACACAAGCTGGAGTCATCAGAGAGGAGGGAGCCTCATTTGAGAAAATGCCTCCATAAGATGGGGCTATAGGACACTTTTTAATTAGTGCTAGGGGAGGGCCCAACCCATTGTGGGTAATGCTGTCCCTGGGCTGGTGGGTCCTGGGTGCTATCCGAAAGCAGGCTGAGCAAGTCATGAGGAGCAAGCCAGTAAGCAGCAGCCTTCCATGGTTCTGCATCAGTTCCTGCCTCCAGGTCCCTGACCTGTTAGAGATTCAGTCCTGATTCCTTTGATGATGGACCATGACATGGAAGTGTGACCCAAATAAACCCTTTCCTTCCTAACTTGCTTTTGATGGTGGTGTTTCATCATGGCAATAGTAACTCCAACTAGGACAACGCTGATTATTGGGAAGGGCTATAGTTTTCAAACCAGTGAAATATCCCCCAGGACTCATAGATTCGAGTGGCTGCTCCCCAGCTGGTGGCATTGTTTTAAAAGACTGTAGAACGTTTAGGAGGTAGAACCTCACTGGAGGAAGTGGATTCCTGGGGGCTGGCCTTGAACTCTGTGTAGCCAAGGCAGGTCAGGGATCTGAGATCATTCTGCAATGTTCTGAGCAGCCAGGATTCCAGTCATGCATCACTAGACTCAGCTAGAATATAGCTTTTAAAAACCATCACCATTATTATGATAACGGGTAGAATATTACTGAAAATATTAACCAGATGCAGTTCCCACTGTCTCTAAATGTTTCTCTGTTTCTCTTCACTGAGTTCCAGGCAGCCACAGGCCAGGGCAAGGAACCATTGTGGGGACAACAGAGCTATAGTCTTGGCCATCTGCCTCTTTTGAAAGAGAAAATCTATTTCTAAGTTATCCACGCCTCCTTTACATGCAAGATTAGACTTTTTCCATGAGCTGTTGTGCAAATACATGGGATCTGTCTTAAGCACAGTTCTCAGGACTGTAACAATCAACAAAAAGTTTTTCTACAGCTGGGAGGAAGATCTGTCTGGAAAAGAGCCATGGAAGGACCCATGGTATATATTTTGGCTGTATCTACTCCTGGAGAGAGAACCAAAGAGATTAGTGAAGTCCTGGGAAATGAGTTAGAGCGTCTTATCTTATTCTCCAGAATATAGTCAGGGCAAATGTCAAGTTCTTACAGGAAACCAGAGGTCAGGGCAGCCCCGAAACAGCATATGAAAATGGTTGTAAGGCTGCTCAGCAGGGGCTGGGGGTAGCTTTTGGTGTTCTGTGCTTTCTTGCAGGGGGGCAGAAATGGTGTTTGAATTCCTGGTCCTGAGAAGCCTTAAATGCTGCGATAACTGGTGGCTGGAGGCAGGTGTGGGGTTGGGGACAGCAAGTACCACACAAAGCCATAGCAAGAGCAGCCTTCAACTGATGACCCCCAAAACACTATTTCTCTTGACACTTCCTTGCATTAGTTCCTCCCCTTTGTCAAGCCAATTCAAGAAGTTTTAGGCCTCAATGGATCTTTTAGTGGCCTCTTTTCTCAACAGAAGTAATGCTCAAGCAAGCAATTTTTACATTGCCATCTCCAGCTCCCAGCAAGGCTGTGGGGGACTGTGGGAGATGTCCAAAACTAGGAGCTGGCCAGAGCACCACATAGTCTAGTGATGTGACTTTTGGCAAATATATTTTTCTCTGCCCACATTTTACTCATAAATTCAACAAAGCAGTTACATTAGATGAGCCCACATTTCATCTTGTTCCAGTCCAGATATTCCATGGTATTTTTTTCTCAGTATACTCAAACTTTCCTTGTTCTGTTTTCTCTTCTGTAGATCCTATACTGTCGCTGGCACACACCCTGTCGTTAATGACTGGTCCATGAGTGAGCAATAGCCATCTCTGCAACTAGGTTTGCAGGTCCCTGGCAAAGTAGACCATGTAATATGCTCAAATCAGAAAACAGTGCATAAATGTTCGGGCTTTGTGATTATAGCTGTCAGCTACAGACAGACAGTCTGATGCCTGTTGGGTTCTTAAAACAGTCTCTTCATCATTCACAACAAACTTGCCAAATTTATTCTGCAACCCACGATTTAAGTATGGCTTACAACCATCGTGGGCTGGCTTTATTTGACTGTAGAGCCTTTGACATGTCGTATTATTTTTCCTTCTTTGGTATTTCTTTCCTGAAATGCCTGAGGGGGCGAATGGATGGTGTGTGTGATGTGTGCACCGTGTGCTTGCTGGCTGTGGCTGCCTTCCAATAGTGACTGAACTCACCACTCAGGACTTCAGGGCCAGCTACACAGCTCAGCAGTAGGAGCAGCCGGACACATTTGGGAGCCATCTTCCTCTTTCCCCTGACACGATACTTCGATGCTTTGATTTCAAGGCCCTTAGAGCTCTTTCCAGTTTTTCCTTAAAGTCTCTGGTATCTCTAAAACCTGCAATTAGGACCAGAAGGGTGATGGCATTTAGACACCACATCAAAATTATTTCCAAGTAGATGCAGGTTTTACAATAGAGATAATCTCAGGTTTAGCATAGGGATGATGAGCATTTAATTTATGAGGTTTTATTCTTACCTTCAAGCCCCTCTGGACCGATGTCAGAACCCTAACTACAGTTGGAGGAAGTCCTTGGCAATCTTAGTAAAGTTAATTTGTGAACCACCCCTTGCTCCTGGGTTATCTCCAGGAAAGCCAGCAGAGGGCGACCTGGGCACATTTCCTCACAGGTAGTAATAGCCCTTCTGAAGTCCCAGAAATATAATAAAGTAGTTCCAATACTGACATTTTTTTTAATGCTGAAGGTAAACAATTGGCCCAAATTCAGCTACAGATAAGAAGGCCTTGGGTCTTCAAGGACTGGGTCATGTGCTCTGTGTCACCAGCTATAACTAGATCTGACTCTTTAATCCTGTTGACATCACTTAAAAAAAAAAAAAAAAGCTTTGCTAGTCTCCCCTTTCATTACCAAAAAAACCCCACAAATCATTAAAATATCAGTACAGACCAAGAAGTGGGAAGTGAGCCCACCTCCCAGTGACAAGCAGTTTGGTGAAGAGCCCACAGACTCTTCCTAGGCACCTGTGCATAGTTTTCCATAAATCTAATCACACTGTCTTGTGACTTGGCTGCTTCTCAGACACAGACCAGCTACAGAAGACATTCTTGCAGTCACGGTTCTTTGTTCAGTGTCTCTTCTCTGTTTGGTATGACCTCACGTGTTCCACTACTCTCACAGAGTAAGTCCATTGTCATTTTGAACCCCTCCCTGTCTTCTGGAAGGCTTGCCTACTCGTCCTACTCAGGACTGGTGCCCTCCTATCTCATGAAAAACATTTAAATTTATCAAAAGTGTTGTTTACTAAGTTTGGCACTTAAAAAGAAATGTTTTCTTGTACCTAAAGGCTGCCGATGAAGTGGAGCATCTTTTTAGATATGATTTTTAAAATTTCTTATGTGAATTATTAGTTTATAGCTTTCTATATTTTTCTATTTTGTTGTTCTTTTCTGATGATTGGTGAGACTGTATTTTGTACATTTATGCCTCCCATTGGGGTACTAAAAGTATCTCTTAATTCATATTTTTCTCTCATTGATATTTTTGTTTTTACCATTCTGAAGGACCACAGACTTCAAATGTAGGGGCCAACATGACACCCCAAAACCCCACTTCTTTTTTGCTTCCTCACAGTAGTCCTTGCCCCTCTGCCTAGTGCATCCAGCAAGTACTGAGCTATGTGTTTCACTGGATCTTTCAGTGGCCTCTTGACAGAAGTAAAGTTCAAGTTTTAAAAATGCCTTTGTTGTGTGCGTGCATGGTCTCCTTTATTATCTTTGGAATGTCTATGAGAAACAGTAGCCACCACTGTGTCATACGGTTAAAATAGGTAGCCACATGCCCTTCCATTCTTACCTACGCTTTATGGCAATTCTAAGCCGTAGTGGTTTCCCCAAAATAACATGAAAATGAAGAATTCATTGAATTCTTATCTAACCATGCTTTCTGATTAAAAAAATAAAACAAATAATAACCTCTCAAATAATCGATGGCTTGGGAGATGCAATAGGGCATCTAAATGGGAGACTTCTGGAAGCTCTATCTGCAGCCCCCGTGAGCACTTGGGTCTGACAGTAACAGAAGGGGCATCCCTTCTCTCCTATTTGCTTTGATTTTTTAAGATTATCCCATGAACCTTGCACTTCTTTGCTGAACTTTCCTTTCAAAAGTACTGTGGGATTTCAAAGTTATGAAACCCTTTGAAATGTAAATGGAACTCAATGTTGGTGGAACTCAACATTCAGACTGACTGGCTGGAGGAAGGGAGGTCAGTCAGCATTTCTTTCCTTACTCTAAATGGACTTGAGACATCTGGTGAGGCCCTGTCATCTCCTTTGACCTCCATACTGACCTTGGTAACTACACTGAACAGCAAGTGTTAGTGTTTGGCCAGTAAGCAAAGTGACACTCGTTGTATTCTGTAACATTCCCTAAATTTCACAGATAACAGCCGCAAAGCCACCACTGGAGTCAACACTGCTGGCCTGGCCGCCAAAGCTAACTCTCAGTAAGAGCAGAAAGAAAATAAACAACTCAACTCAGAGCTGAGGAGAGGACTCAGGGGGTAAAGATGCTTGCTATGCAAGCCTGGTGACTTGAGTCCCATCCTTGGGACCCCTGTAAAGATGGAAGGAAAGAACTCCACAGAGCTGTTCCCCAATGCCAGTTTGCCACGCACACATGTGCAGACACCCACACAGAAATTAATATTGATGATGATGTCAAAAGTAAACTATTTAAACCAAACCGTACTATAACAAACACTCCAGCAAAAGCAACAGAGCTGTGACCACTAGGTAGCTAGCAGAGAATAACAGGTGTTCACAGAAAGCCCTCTTTCCCCGCTGCAGGGAGGATTACCTGGTTGGAAGCCACACTCTGAGAACCTGCCTTCTTCAGCTTCAGTGGTCCCAGGTTCCTGCAGCTTTATACCTTCTTGCCTCAGGATGTGATGACCTGTTGAAGTCATGAAGCAATAGCATTATTTACTAATAATTACCCTTATCTACAGTCAAAAAATGAACTGTTCAAGTGATAGCTTAAGAACGGACACACAATGAGCTTTGTCTAGCCAAGATCAGAACCTCTCCCTGTGTGCAAACAAAATCTTTAATGTCCACGTTATTAAAGTTAACAGTATCCTGTAGTCTGAGAATGGCCTGTTTCCGCTCCCATTTCTTCACTTTTTTGTGCTTAGTTCTATTTTGCAATTTTCCTCTCCTTTTTGTCCCTTTGTGTGGTGGTAGGTGACTTCTATCTTTCTTTCTTTTCTGGAAAGACGTTCCACTCTGAAGAGTTAGATTTCTATCCTTGCAGGAAAGATTTGACTTTAGGGTCAGACTGAGGACTACATAGGCTCTTCTCTCCACAGGGTCCGTTCCTAGAATGCATCAAGGTCCTTAGATGCCTGTTTGCCTCTCTCCTGTGGAACTGAAGGTACTGAAAACTTATTTAATCCCAGCACTCAGGAGGCAGAGGCTGGAGGATCTCTGTGAGTTCAAAGCCAGTTTGGTCTATAGAGCGAGTGCCAGGATAGGCTCCAAAGCTAAACAGAGAAACCCTGTTTTGAAACAGTGGGAAGAAAAGAAAGAAAAAGAAAAAGAAAGGAAGAAAGAAAGAAGGAAAGAAAGAAAGAAAGAAAGAAAGAAAGAAAGAAAGAAAGAAAGAAAGAAAGAGAGGAAAAGAAAAAAGTAGAAAGGCCACCAGGTTTGCTTTTCTGTGAAAAGGCTAAGGGATTTATTTTTGTTGTGGGTGCCAGAGACTACTCACTTCAAGCTACAGAGTTAGCTCTGTTAGGGCTATTGTGTCTGAAAAAGGTCACAGTGATGCTCAGATCTTACTCCAGAGAAGTGCCTTGGCTAATGTGACTGTCAGTTGTAGAAAAGTCAGAGCTCTCTGCCCGAAGCCTAAGTTGCTTTCTAGATGCCATTCTGCCTCTGTTGTTGGGATTTTCCAACCTGTGTGTAAATTCATGCTAGGACCCAAGAAAGCAAGGTTTTCCCAGCCTGGCTCCTGCAGTGACCTGGACCCTCTGATGATGCTCAAGGGGAAGAGCACAGGGTCTGGCTGATTCATGTTTGAGTTCTGTTCCCCTCTCACTAAAAAACACTCATCATCAGCTGGGCGGTGGTGTCACATTCCTTTAACCCCAGCACTCAGGAGGCAGAGGCAGGCAGATCTCTTTGAATTCGAGGCCAGTCTGGTCTACAGAGTGAGTTCCAGGACAGCTCTGCAATATGAATAAATAAACAAACACTCAAACAAAAAATAAAACTCTAATCATGTGCTGAACCTCTTGGAGCCATGATCTCCTAATCTGAATATGAAGGAGGGTATTGCTAGGTGAGCTTCCCTGTTTAATACACAATGCTTTTCCCCTTTAGAAAGCTAGATAGGGAAGGCACTGCGGCACTGTACAACAGAGAGCACAGATACCAACTCTGAGCCTTTCAAGTTCCAGAGGCCTGATCCAGAAGGAACGCTGGCAAGTTTTGCAAAATATTGTGGTGAGGTAGAACTTCTTCAGCCAAGCTCTTCCTTGACTGTTGCTCTGATCCATGTGCCACTGTTTTTAAGACTTCAGATGACAAAAAGAGTGTCAGAACATGTGAGTTACTATGTAGAGGTTTCTTACCGGAACCTCCATTGGTCAGGACAAAACCAGGGCACCAATAGAACCCACACCCAATTTTGAGACATAAGAATAAAAGGGATCCTTATCTGACATGAGGGCTGGCACACACTAATCCCATAACTCGGAAGCTGGAGTAAGACCGTGAATCTGCAGATACGCTGGGCTCCATCATGAGTTCTAGGTCAGCCTGAGCTACATGGCAGTGGGGTGAGGGATGAAGTTCAACTGATAGAGTACCTGTCTAACATGCAGCAACAATTAAAGCAGAGCTGGTGTCACGGACTGTGATTCCAACACTCAGAAGGGTCAGAAGCCCAAGGCCATCCTCAGCTACATAGCAGAGTTTTAGACCAGTCTGTGCTGCATAAAACTCTGTTTCAGAAACAGAGAATGTAAGGGATCAGAAAGACATCTAAATTTAAAAGTCTTGTTGACTACCAAGAAGGCATGATCTAAAAGAAACTGTTTATAAACACATCATACATGAAATTTAGAAAGCAAGAAACCTAAAGTGCACAAATCAGTAACAATTACTTCTCAAGAGTCAGGAATCAGATTGGGACACTTAAGAGATGGTTCAGCTACTAAAAGCACTGACTGCTCCTGCAGAGGACCTGGGTTCAGTTCCCAGCACTCACACAGAGATCCACAACTGCCTGTAACTCCACCTTCAAGTGGTCTGACACCTTCTATTGACCTCTATCGTGCACTTCACACATGTATGCAGGTAAAACACCCATGTATACCAAAGAGTCAGCCATGATTACCTGTATAAATACATACAAATAACACTAGATAGACTGAGCAGGTTGTGTACACACACACACACACACACACACACACACACACACACACACACTAGCAACCTCAACCAAAGAAGAAGAGGCTATGATTTCAAGAGGGCATAAGGGGAGGTTGGTGAATAGAAAGTTGTTGGTGATGTAATTCCATTTTAGCTAAAGAGAGA